ATAAAAGTCACTTTTTTCAGGGCCATTGTAATTTTGAACGGTCACTAAATAACTGTTGTAAGTCGAGGACTACCTGTATAAGATTTTTTAAAAATAGCAACTATGTGTAAGTGGAGAACATGGCAATCCAGCAACCCAGGTTGGAATGGCTGCCCAGGGTTGCAATCAGCTATTGAAGGAGGAGGGCTTCAGTGGTATGATTCAATATTTTTTACTACTGGTTCTGTGGGCGTGGCTTGGTGGGCATGGCAGGGGAAGGATACTGTCAGATCCTCATTCCCTCCCCACTCCTGGGGGAAGGTTACTCCAAAATCCCCATTCTCTCCCCACCCCACTAACCTGCTTTCCAGCTCTGTTCTCCTGTGCAGGGCACCCTAATCCTAACCCTAACCCTGCTGAATACCCCCTCTGGGCTTCCATCCTTAAAGTTACCAGTCAGAGCTGGGATTGTCATAAGGGCAAGAGAGAACTGCAGGCTGTCTTCTCAAAAGGGCTTATAAGGGGGAAAAAAAGATCTATTTTGAAGGGGAACCTCAGAACGTGCATACATTTGTGATGGAATTGATGGAGCAGGTGGAATGAGATGCCATCCCCATTCTTGGTCCAGCTTTGCCTTCAGATGCGTGGATTACAAATCGTGTCCTGGCTGGGAACCCTGGAAGCCAGTGTTTTGACCTAGGCTTCACAAAAATCACAAAGCAGGCTCCTCATCCCGACAAAATCCCCTTTTATTAGGCTAATGTGAATTCCTATCATTCACATCCAGCAAAGTCCCGGCAAACAGTCTTTCAAGAGTGATTTACAACCACAGACCTTATCAGGCTTGCAGAGTTGCCAGGCCGATAGCTTCCAAGCACAATGTGCTGTGCCAGAAAATACTTAGCAAGGAATCACGAACAGATCTTCACCCTAATTAAACGAACTAATTGTCTCCTGCAAATCCCACACCCCTTTCACTCCTCTTTATTCCCTATGGGGAGGGCCATTCACTATCCATCTGTGCCTTTACCCCTGAGTTGACTGTTCCTTAACTGTGCCCTTCTCCTGGCAGCTCTGTGCATGCACACACATTGGGAACAGGCTCCAGCTGTTCTTCTTCCCCACTGATCTCTGATTTCAAGGGCAGCTGATAACTGTCAGACGGCCCTGGCCCCATCTCTGCCTCTGACACCTAGAGCACTTGTCAACAGCCTTCCCCAGACTCCAGGACTGGCCCATGTTCCTCCCCAACCTCCTCACTGTCCAAGTCTGCCACCAGCTCCGCTGGCCACTGGTGGGCCACAAGTGCCAGAATGTGAAAACGCTTGGGACTTAATATGGGATGGTGGCCATGAAAATGTTTGCTAACCTTGGGTTGATTCTTACAGTGCCCCTCCGTGAGGAACTCAAACCCAACGGATTCGTATGCTCTGGATCATACACAAGACATGGAGATTCCCTCCAATCAGCTCAACCAATTCTTTGCCTTGGCCGAGAGACACATTGTGTCAACTTTAATTTTACCATGAATACATGTGAGTGCAATCTTTTTTTTTTTAATCAAAGAAACAATAGAAAGAGAAAACAAAACAAAACAAAATGCCAGGTAACTAAAAATAAATAATTAAAATATGAAAAATTGGAGAGGTTTTTTAAAAAAATTGGGAGAGGGGGAGGCAGACTGACTGTCGGATGGCTCAAAAACATCAAAAGAGCATCCATTCCCATGCTGCTAAAATTAAAGGACTAATTATTATTTTGCCTGCAGACTAACACATCATGATTGTGGAAATCCACTTTATTCATATGATTCTGATCAGATAATTGCAATATAGAGTGAGGATGGGGGAAGGAACCTGCAGGAATATTACTACAGTTTTCCATATATTTCTCTCCCTAATCCGTAGACATTTTCAATGCCTTTTGGGTGCAACTTTCTGTCTATCCCTTTGCCTACGTCAATGAACTTCCTAACAACACGACTTCCTATTCACCCTCAGCATCCATTAGTCACCCCCCTCCTTTTGCCGAGATCTTCCCAGCATGGCCAAATTCCTGTGCATTCCCCCCAATTGTCCCACTTTTTCTATTGCAGCACATCGAATACTAAACATACAGTGGTGGGATTCAAAAATTTTTACTACTGGTTCTGTGGGTGTGGCTTGGTGGGCATGACAGGGGAAGAATATACTGCAAAAAGCCCGTTCCCTCCCCACCCCATTAACCTGCTTTCCAGCTCTGTTCTCCTGTGCAGGGCAACCAAAGAATACCCAGCCAATCAGCTGGGGCTTGGGAGGCGGAGAATAGATGGGGGCGGGGCCAGTCAGAGGCAGTTCTCCGAACTACTCAAAATTTCCGCTACCGGTTCTCCAGAACTGGTCAGAACCTGCTGAATACCACCTCTGTAAGCATACCCCAAGCATTGCAACAGCATTTTCATGTCAAAATGCTTCAAGTACCAAATTTGACAAGTTGGGAAGCAGTTGAGTACCAAGGTACCACTATACTGTAATCTTTCAACAATAACAGTACTGTGGTATATAACATGCATGAGTTTGACTTCTTATTCTGGTCATCTTGAAGGGTTGAGAAGTGGGCAGTAATTTTATGACTGAAAATTACTTCACAAATGTTTCACTTAGCAACATACATTTTGGGCTCCATAGTGGTCGTAAGTTGAGGACAACCTATAGCAAGGGTCTTCAGATTTGGCAGGTTTAAGATTTATGGACTTCAACTCCCAGAATTCCTGAGCTAACATGATGGGAGGAGGAATTCTGGGAGTTGAAGTCCACAAGCCTTAAAGCTATCAGGCTTGAAGACCCCTGACCTATAGTATAACATGCATGACTATGTTCTTAATTTGGCCTCTTTGAAGGGTCGACGGGCGGGCACTAGTGCTCATGACTGATATAAAGGCTTAATTGTCAACATAGTGCAAAGGATTTCCCAAAGAGTGGCTATGCTCAGGAGTTTGTCAAGAGGAAAATTATCTTTGTTTTCTAATATCCTTGCAATAAAGTCTCAGAGATTCTTATTTTTCCTTTTTCCTCCACAGTTGGAGCTATACAAGAGGGGGGTTCGTTCCAAGGATGTGCAACCCCAAATGTATGTTCCTATCCTGATGGAGAGGTGCGGATGGGCAATAACCTTGTAATGTTGAGCACCATGAAGGAGTGTAACACTGTTCCACTGTCCCTCAATAGAGATTTTCTGCCCAAGTAATCAGAACATAGCCTTCTTCCTTTGTCTTTCAGGATTTATAAAAGTGAGAAGGAGATTGGAGCTTCAGTAGTAAGAGTAACAGTGGTTTGGGATTAAGCATTCTTGGTAGTAATTTAGAATATGGAGGAACAGACCTGAGAGGGTTGAAATGCTGTGTTTGGGGCTACTAGCTGAGGGGAATATGGTTTTTCTCTAAACATTCCATTTGCACTAAATTATAATGAAAATAAATTGAGGTGTTGAAAGCATTTGTGTCTGTGTATTTTTTTTAAGGAGTGTTTGAACACACAGGAAAAGGTAGCTTTGATGAACTGGTATTCCCTCTTCTATGTCACCCATTCTTGACTCAGTTCAGCTATACTTTTAGCCGTTTTTCTTTTGGGGTACTTCCTATCATCCTCTCTTGTCACATTATAAGAGAGTTGTAATGTAGCAACTGCAAGAGAAATCTTAGAGTCCTAGTGGACAGTCACTTAAATATGAGCCAACCGTGTGCTGCAGCTGCCAAAAAAAGCCAGTGCAGTTCTAGGCTGCAATAACACAGGGATAAAATCAAGGATAAAATCTTGTGAAGTGGTTGTACTGCTTTATAATACATTGTTTATTTATTTATTTTATTTATTTGATTTGTCGATCGCTTACAAGATAATAGGTATAAGGATAAACATAGTTATGAAAGAGTACAAAGGGACTCAAGACTGATGACCAGTGGTGGGATTCAGCTGATTCACACCAGTTCATTCAAACTGGTTGTTAACTTTGTGTGCAGTTCAGTGAACTGGTGTAATCACAATGCGGGGACCCACATTGTGGTTCACCCCACCCCTCCCAGCCCGGTCTACCTGGTACGGAGAGGAAAGATCAGGCCAATATAGCTTCAGCCCGGTCTACCCAATTAGGCCAACATGACTTTGGCCTGGTCTACTCAATGCAAAGAGGAAACATGTCAGCAGTTTGGGGAGTGGCATCAACCTGGCCATGACCACCTAGTCGGCCACACCCACCCAGTCAGCCACTACCACCCCAGCCCCCTGAGCTCCACCACAGCCCTGATGCAGTCCTCAATGAAACTGAGTTTGACGCCCCTGCTCTAATTTTGTCCCTCATCACCAACATCTCAATAATCTTTACTAGAAAAGGAAGAATAGGGATTGGTCAGTTCATTACATAGCACCTCTGAATCCAGGATAGGAAAAATTATAATCACAATTATAACATAAGAAGCAAAGTATCATTTCATGTAATCTTAAATTATAACTATACTTTAATCTTTATTTCTTATAGATAAAATGGGAGGTCAGTAAATATAATAATACATAATTGAAACGAAGGGCCAGTAACTAAAAGCTGCCTACAAAAATAAGAATATAATAATGGTATGTTCAGAGATTTATCACTAATATATAACAAAGTACTAGCTGTTATATTATGCACAGGAAAAGGTCCAAAACAATCCAAATAAATGAATGTAGGAATTAAGGTGAAACACAGTCAAGAGGGGCAAAGGATACAAATCAGAGATGGAGAATTATAGGAGGATATAAAATCAGCTCTAGAAGCTAGACTAAGCCACTAAGAAAAGCAAGAATTCACATCACAATTTCACTGCCAAGCAAAGTTTATTTTGTGTATATTTTCTAAAAAAAAACAAAAAACACCACTATCTTTTCCAATGGAATTTGGCTTCTGCCCTCCCTGAGTTTTCTATCTCAGCTAGCCAATCATTTGAGTCCCTATATTCAACCTCCTCCAGCTAATTCTTTAAAAACATTTTCCCAGTTGCAAAACTGAGCAGTAGGTGGATTCAGAAAAGGCAGAGGAGTTGACTTCTACCAACATGAGGGCAGCTGGAATTCTTCTTGTCTTTTGTCTCTTCTGCTCCAACTTGTCAACAGGTAAAGAATTTGATTTCCTTAAAACAGGTATAGAAACTTTGGGTGACTTTAGGAAAGGGATGGAGAATAGGCAGCCTGAGGAAGTTTCTGGGAAATCGTTCTACCATGCGTCCATTTGTTCACTGGCCATCTGAATTTAAAACAGCCCTGAAAAAAAATCACTTACAAATGGTCCTAACGCTTTCAACAATTCCCACCACTTCATATCAAAATTTGGGCATTTGGCAGCTGGCGTGTGTTTACAACAGTTGCAGTGTCCTGGGACATATGATCATCGTTGACTTCTCCAAACAGCTTTTAACAAAAAGCATCAATGGGGGAAAGCAGATTTGCTCAACAGCCATGTGATTCACTTAATGACTGCAGATATTAACTACCACAAAAAGGTTATAAAACTGGGCACAAATCACTTAATAATATTACTTAGTGATAAAAGCTCCAGTCCTAATTGCGATCCTATGTCAAGGTCTATCTGTAGTCGATGCAGGATTCATGATCATCTCTTCAGAGTATCATGAGAGCCAATTTGGTGCAGTGGCTGAAGGTTTTGGAGTAGGAATGGGTAATATGAGTCTAGTCATTTATGAAGAACAAAAACTAGGCAAGTGACATTGGACCATTGGGCCAAAAACTAGGCAAGTGACTCTCTCTCCACCCTAGCAAGAAGGTATAGGCAGACCACATCTAGAATGTGCCCAAATCCTGCATCACCAACGCAGATATCAAAAATTATTCAGGTTCTTGCAGAAATATGGCCTCAGCCAGCATCCACATGGCTTCTTTACAAATCTCTTCTATGGCATAAATACCAGAAGAGGAGAAGATCCAGTTTCATATTAATATGTGAGAGATATGAGAGGGTTAATCTCTCCCTTAGTCTCAATTTGCCTTCCATTTCCACAAGTTGATCTCACTTCCCACCCTTGCCCAGGTTCCCAGTAGAAAAAAACAACAACAGGGGAGGCCTGCTTTGTAAACCAGATTATAACAGGAGCCTTAAACGTAAATGCTAGGATAGCAGAACATATAAAGGTGACACTGATCATTGGTATAACTTTGTCTTTTATTTGTAGTGACATCTATAAAGTGTCAGGCATGTGTTGCCCTTGGAGTTGAATGTGAAGGAGAGGCTGTGAAGGTGGTGGAGTGCAAAGAAGATGAATTTTGTTCTACTGTAGTTGTTAATACTACTCTAAGTAAGTGAAAATTGAGTTTGTTCTCAAGTATGTCCATTACTTGGTTTCATTTTTTGTATAATATGTATATATTGATTAGAACAGGGGTCCCCAACCACCGGTCCGGGGACCGGGACCGGTCCGTGGAACAATTTCTACCGGGCCGCCGGTTTGCTGGGCGCCTCCATCTTGTTTTGATGAAAAAGTGCTTCCGGTGAGCTTTTCCGGGTAGAAAGCGGCGTTTGGGTGCTGAAAGAATCCTTGTGCCTTAGTTTCATTGACGGGGGTGTGTGTGTGGGGTGTGTGGCTTCGAACAAAACTAAGGCATGAGGATTCTTTCAGCACGCATGGCAAGGCAAGCCGAGCGACCGTCCCGAAGCCGTCGCGAAGCCCATCGACACAGGTACAAAGGAGGAGTTGAAAGTGGCGGGGAGAAGCAGGGGACAGCTGGCTGGCCAGTCGCTCAGCTCGCCTTGCCATGCATGCTGATGCCGGTACTGGGCTGCAGATGATTTTTTGATGCCGGTACCGGGCCGCAGCACAAAAAAGGTTGGGGACCACTAGATTAGAACATAGACCACCAGAGTTAGAAGGAACCTTGGAAGTCTTCTAGTCCAACTGCCTGCTCAAGCAGGAGACACGACACCATTTCAAACCAATGACTGTCCAGGCTCTTCTTGAAAGCCTTCAGGGTTGGAGCACCCACAAGGTCTGGAGGGAAGCCATTCCACGGATTGTTCTCATTGTCAGGAAATGTCTCCTCAGTTTCAGGTTGCTTCTCTCCTTGGTTGGCTTCCATCCGTTGCTTCTCGTCCCGCCTTCAGATGATTTGAGAATAAGATGGCTCCCTCGTCTTTGTGGCAGCTCCACAAAGGGAACACTGCTATCATGTCACCCCTAGTCCTTCTTTCTTACTTGAGTGGACATATTGAATTCTTCACAGGTTTTAGCCTCCAGTCCCCAATCATCTTTGTTTTGCTCTTCCCTGCATTATTTCCAGAGTCTTAACATCTTTGACAACATATGTCACCCATTTTATTTATTTATTTTTATTTTATTTGGTTTGTCAATTGCTTACAAGATAATAGGTATAAGCAAAAACATAGTTGTGAATACATGGATACATATAAGAAAAATAAAAGAAACAATAGGACAGGGACGGTAGGCACATTGGTGCACTTATGCACGTCCCTACAGACCTCTTAGGAAAGGGGTGAGGTCAACAGTGGAAAGTCTAAGGTTAAAGTTTTTGGGGTTTGGGGAAGAAACCACAGAGTCAAGTAGAGTATTCCAGACATTGACCACTCTGTTGCTGAAGTTGTATTTCCTTCAATCAAGTTTGGTGCGATTAACCTTGAGATTGTATCTATTGTTTGCTCCTGTGTTGTTATGATTGAAGCTGAAGTATTCATTGACAGGTAGGACATTGCAATATATATTTTTATATACTATACTTAGATCAGACCGAAGGCAGTGTAGTTCTAGGTTGTCTAGGTCTAGAATTTCGAGTCTGGTGGCATAAAGTATTCTGCAACGAGTGAAGGAGTAGAGAATTCTTCTCGTGAAATATTTCTGGACTTTCTCAACTGTGTTTTTCACTGTCAAGCAACAATAAAATGCTAAAATTTTGTATCTAAGTTGTGCTAAAACATGATTGGGTTGGGGAGTCTCCTTCAATGACTTCTCTTCGGGGTTCATTGAGGGACAATAGTCCAACGTTATTTGCCGGATGTAATTTTTTTTAAACGTACGTGCATGATATGATACACAGGGACAAGAGTGGACAAGTGATGAAACACACACCCTGATGTAGCAATCTACACTTTGCCCTTTTGAATGTGTATCACACATTGCAAGCTAAACAGAAGGAGCTTACATTACCTTCTCACAATGCAAGGTTCATCGTTCTGTAAAAAGATTCTGCAATTACCTGTGCTAAAATGTTTCTTGGGAATAAATAAATCTTCTAAGGTGCCAACATCTACATGAAAGCCAATGTGGTTTAGTAATTCAGGTTAGGATTAGGAATCTCAGTTGGAGAAGTTTGGCTGGCCTGTTATTTTCTGCAGGTCCAAGAACGAGTATAGTGGGATATGTGCTGGGTTGGAAGTAGGAAGACTTAGCCATGGAAGTTTACTCAATAGTTTGGGTGGGTCAAACTTTCACAGCCCAACTAACCTTAGTAGTTTTATAGAGAAAAGTAACAAGGGGAGAAAGGCTATGAGCTCCTAAACAAAAAGGACATACAGTTTATAAAGTGAAATAAACAAAGGTATTTAGAGATTTCTTCCAAAATACAACAGCCAAATGAACAGGTTTGATATGCATTTCTTCATTTCCTGCTGTGTTCCATTTTTTTTTAATTCCCTTCTGCAGCCAATCTTGCCACGATCTTAATTGTCAAGGAATGCTCAACACGTGAGGGCTGTTTTGAGGGCCTCTTCAGCACCACAATAGTAGATGGTAGATTTGAAGTAGCAAGAGCTACCTGTTGTGACACTGATGTCTGCAATGCAGAACCGCTTCTGTGTAAGTATCTACAACTGAATACATTCTTTTTCAAACTCTAGCTTTTTCAAAAAAAAAAAAATCTTGCTTTTCGCAAAGAATCTTGGGTTCTTTGATTCCATCTGAGCTGGAATTGAACTCAAATATGTGAAAAGAAAGTCAAGTTGGAGGAGGCTGTGATAGACATTAAAAGGGTTAGTGGTTATTATGAAACTTTGCTAACTGGAATATTTGCTTCCTCCAGTGGAAAAGTATGAAGCGTTTCAACCAAATGGATTACAGTGCCCAGGCTGCTTTGCACTAGATGAGGATCATTGTAAAGCCAATCAATCTGTAGTCTGTGTTGGCAAAGAGGATCAGTGTCTTACCATAGCTAGTTCCACAGAAGCTTGTGAGTAGATATTTCCTTCCTTCCTTCCTTCCCTTCCCTTCCTTCCTTCCCTTCCTTCCCTTCCTTCCTTCCTTCCTTCCCTTCCTCACTTCCTTCCCCTTTCCTTCCTTTCCCTTCCTTCCCTTCCATTTTTTAAATAAAGGAAGATGATCTATTTGGAGAAACTTTATCAAACAGTTAATATATGGTAACCAGATCTGTATCATGTTTTTCAAAGACCTTTATGTTTCCATAAAGGCCACAAGAACATCAAGGCCAGAATATAAATAATAAAGAAACAATCTGCATTGCTTTATAATATCTATTCTGTAGAGTCTCATATGCACCTTTTCTGTCTTTTTCTCATCTCCAGTTGGAAATTTCACTGAAAAGTCCACTTACCAAGGATGTACGACACAGAACTCATGTTCTTTCCCTCTAGGAGTTTCTGAGATGGCCGGTGGGCTGATTCGGTTCAATGTCACCACTCTGGAATGCAGAAATGCATCTTCTTCTGAACCAGATCTTCAGTTATAGTTGGGAAGAGCCGAAGCTTCTTTGCAGTTATTGGGAAATTTGTAAAAAAATTAGGAAGTTGGAGATTTAATAATGAGATAAGTAGAGATTGGAGTCAAAGATGCTTTTGATTCTTACCTGAGTCAGTAGGGGAAAGCTGGAAATTTGGGGCAAAAAATATCATGCTTTGAGACCACAGATCAATAAAAGATGTGTTTTCGATCCTGAAAGTCCACAAAACCATCATAAAAATAAACTGCTAAGACAAAGGAATCTGCATTCAGTATCTTTTTCTTTAGAATTTATACAAACATAGGTGTTCTGAATAAAATAGCTCCTTCTGATCCCTCCTGTCTTCCATACTTAAGAAATTATAATTATCATTTTATGCATTTTCACTTGGAATCTTTCTCATCGAGTCCTACAATGTCCTTTTGCCTGAAGTTTATAGATTACTAATTCATATGTCTTATGACCTTTCCCAGTATCCCCTTAATCATGCATTCAAAATTTGGATGTTTGGCAACTGACATGTATTGGTTCGCATAAGCGCACCAAAGTGCCTACCGTCCCTGTCCTATTGTTTCTTTTTATTTTTCTTATGCCCTGCTTCTCCAACAATACGGCCTCCCCCAATAGGAAGTCCCAGCATGTTTTATAGGCATGAAATGAAATTAAGCCCCTTCCCCCAAATTAAGGCATATTAAAACATGCGAAATGGGGGGGAATGGGGGGGGGGCTTGCCGTTAGGAAGTACTTTTGTTGCACCAAAAATCACTGTTGATGACACCCATGTCAACAGCTTCAAATACTTTGGAAACATCATGATGGGTTTTTGGACAAAGAAATTGACTCCATGGTCAGCAAGTTCAACCATGTGCTGGGTTGTTTGTGTACTAGAGTGCTCAATCAACACAACATCCATATCTCCACAAAGATGAAAGTCTATAGATCGGTGGTTATCTCTTCTCTCCTAAAGGGATAGGAGTCCTGGACTCTGGACATCCAACAAATAGAGAAATTTCACAATGCGTTTTCCGTTCTGTCTGTGACATTTGTTGGCAAGGTTATACCTCCAATCTTGGATCAGATGAAGTTCACTAGCATTGATTCCTTGATTGTCACAGCTCAGATGTGGCAGATGGGGCCTGTCATCAGAATGGCCAACCACTGCCTGCCTCACTAATTGCTCTATGAGAGGGGTGTCTGTCAGAGCGTTTGCAGCATGGCTGCCATTATGAGATAACCAGGAGCAAAACATAGCGCACGGAGACTTAGACTTTTAACAGAGGTTTATCTACAAGGTCCTTTCCAACTCTGATTATCTGTTATTTATTCTAAAACCCTTCGCTCTAATCTCTAATTATCTTGCCCCAATGACTTTCTACCTTTTTTCTTTTTTTCTGAAAAAATCAAATTTGTAGCAAATGGCCCATTGTTTCCCATTGAATGAACGACAGATAAATCAGTAAAGTAATTCTGTTTACTGTTCTAGCTACAAGGTTGTGGGATTTCATCTGATTTCAGATCCTCGCCCAAACCCTCTTCATTCAAACTAACTCTAGCATTGCTGCAATATTTGTAAATATTCCAAAACCTATATAAGAATACCGTAGTTAAGGAAAGCTTAGGGCACTGAGCTTATTATTATATATTTATAATAATTACATACAATAATTACATGCTTATTATTATATATTTATAATAATTACATACAAGCCATGCCAACCCAGTCACATGACCACCAAGCCACACCCACAAATTAGGCCACACCCACAGAACTGGTTGTTAAGAAATTTGAATCCCACCCGAGTGGTGGGTCTTATCCGGGATGACAGTGAAGATGTTTATAGGGAAGAGGTGAAAGCTCTGGTGGACCATGCAATAAAGGTAACCTGGTTCCAAATGTTGATAAAACAAAGGAGATCATCGTACATTTTAGAAAGAGCCAGCATGGTCATACTCCATTCAGTATCAAGGATGCAGGTATAGAGGTCAACAGCACTAAGTATCTGGGGGTGCAAATAACTAACGATCTAAACTGGTCTCTCCACACATCATCCTTAGTGAAGCATGCAAACCAGCATTTGCATTTCCTGCATTGGATGAGGAGACCACATCTTCCTCCTTCTGTCCTGGCCATGTTTTACAGAGGCAGGATTGAGGGCATCTTAACAAAATGCATCCCTGTTTGGTTTGGTGGCGGCAGCTTCTCAGATAGAAAGTCCCTACAGAGAGTGGTGAGGACAGCCAAGATGATTATAGGAAGCTCACTTCCTTTTATTCAGGATACTGCTTATAAGCACTTTGTGCTTAGAGCTCAAAGCTTTATTGGAGACTCCACACACCCACTTCATGGTGTTTCTGTTGCTCCCCTCTGGGAGGAGGTTTCAAAGTATTTCTAGCAGGACTTCCAGATTCTGTAACAGCTTTGTTCCCTAGGCCACCTATCTGGTAAACTCGCAAGGTTCATTTTTCTAGCCATGTACATGTATACATCCAAACTAGACTGTGTTGTTTCTCCTTATCACATAATATATATGGGTGTATCCATATTTATTTATTTTGTCATGTTTATATAGTGTATATTGGAGGTGGTGGCGCATTGAGAGCTGTCTGCAATGAAATTTCATTTTAATATATGCCAATTAGCTTACAGTCAAAGTGACAGTTATTCTATTCTATTCTATTCTATTCTATTCTATTCTATTCTATTCTATTCTATTCTATTCTATTCTATTCTATTCTCCGCTTTCTCCAAAGCAGTTTAGCTAAGGCTGGAAGCCAAAGGAGCAAACACAAAGCCAAAAGGGACCAGGTTCACATCCTTTCTCAATCAACAGACTACTCTTTGTCAAATCTATCCATCATTCTTTCCCTCCCACATGCAGTACATAATTCTGGAATCGTTTTTGTGAAATAATCCAGAAAGTTGCAAAGCTAATTTATGAGAATTCTCGCAAGTATTGTGCTGCAATCCAGTGCAATACTAATGGATCTTGACCGCTTTAAGTTCAGGGTGATTTCAAACAAATAGTTCCTAATTCAAAGCAGAGAAACTAGTAGTTCTTTAATTCCATCAACTCTATCCTATCTTGGACTGTGGCAAACTGACCTCATGGAGTAACGTACTCACCTACGGAGTCATAGCAATAGCACTTAGACTTATATACCGCTTCACGGTGTTTTACAGTGCTCTCTAAGTGGTTTACAGAGTCACCATAGTGCCCCCAACAGTCTGGCTTCTCCTTTTACCAACCTTGGAAGGATGGAAGGCTGAGTCAACCTTGAACCTGGCGGGATTTGACCTGCCAAATTGCAGGCAGCCAGCAGGCAGCAGAAGTAGCCTGCAGTACTGCATTCCAACCACTGCACCACTGTGGCTCTCTATGGTAAAGAAGAGGGTGGTTAACCATGTCAACATTGTCTCAGCCCATAGATAGGGATGCTAAAGAGAAGGAACCTGAGGCCATTCCTCTTTTGTGACAGCTTCCTGGTGCTTCAGCGCTGGCTGATCCATTTCTCCTAAAATGTTACCACAATGATCTCGACCCAATGGTCATTTTGAACCTCCTTTCTTCCCCCGCCCCCCCCCCCTCATTAATAGATTGGCATTACTGACACTATGATTCCTACCACGGAAGAATGGTTGCAGAAGTTGATGGAATTGGCAGAAATGGCAAAACTGACCACTTCGATTCAAAGAAAAAAACATAAGTATTTTTTCTTCCACATGGAAACCGCTTCTGAACTTCGTGCTTGATGTGGAAAAAGGATGAAATTCTGACTTTGGGTTTTACAGATTAGACTGATCGACATTTACAGAAATGACTGGTTCGTACTATTATGGAAAAGCAAAAAGCTGCGATTTGATGCTAATGCCTTATTCTATTGCAACGGAGAGAGTCGGAAGTCAATGCTTCTTTTTCCTTTTCCCCCTTTTATCTTTCCTCCCTTCTCTTCCCCCTTTCCCCTCCCCCACTCTCACTGCTCCTGTATTTACTTTTGTATGTTGTATTTTATAATACTTTATAACTCAATAAAAATGTTAAACCGAAAAAGAAAAACAACCCTTCCTCACTTCAACAATCTTGATGTGCTCCAAAATATTTCTCGGCTCAATTACATTAGTCAGGTTATTACCGGACAGAATGGATGGCTTTGGAGAAATCAAGATGCAATCATGCCATTTGTTCTAGTTGCATGCTGATGTCTTGCCTCATGTTGCCCACATGATAGATTCCCACAAGTCAGAAGATAAATTGTTGCCTCTCTTTTCCAAAAGCATCTTCCTGCTGTTTTTGCAAATCAGTTTTACCATAAAGCTGGAGGCACAAGGGAGCTGGCGCCAAGCCTAGAGGGACCAGGTTCAATTATTTCCTCATTCAACCAGCTACTCTTTCTCACATCAATCCATCGTCCTTTCTCTCCCACACGCAGCTCATAATTCTGGACTTTCTTTTGGAATGGTCCAAAAAGTTGCAGAGCTTAATTTATGTGAATCCTTGCAAGTGTTGTGCTGCAATCCTGTGCAACACGAATGGGACGTGACCATATTGAACTCAGGGTGATTTATAATCAACACTTTCTAGGAATAGGTGGTTCTTTGAGTATATCCTGGATCTTGTATCTGTAAGCCTGGCAAACTGGCCCCTCTGGACAAAATAGATGTCAGATGGAGCTCCATTCAAAGTCCAAGAAAGACACTCTTAGACTCCATTGTTATAGAGAAAAGAAACTTTTACTGGAAATCAAGTGGTAGCATCGAAAGAACTAGACCTGAGAATTTACGTGCAGAAATCACATATACAAAGAGATAGCAATGTTCCCACCCACCATAGTTCAAACGAGGATGTGTATAATGTCATGTGGGGCATCTTCAGTTGATGATGCAGATATCTGGCCATTGACCTTGGCCTAGTTTGATAAAGAGCTGCAGTTGCGCAGTAAGCAAGCAAGTAAGCATAAACAATGAAGTTTTCCCCAAGTTATACAATTAATTAACCATGTCAACATTGTCTCAGCCCATTTGCCACCCCACAAAGCCCAATTGATTCACCCTCCCCCCACCCCATTGCTATGGCAGCCAAAAAGATAGCGAAAGAAAGGAGTCTTGAAGGCTGACAGTAGACATGTTCAA